GCTTCCTCAATCATCCTAATAAAGTCCGGCCTTTTTCTAATTCTACGCCGGAAAAAGCCCGTTGAATGGTTTGTTGGGGACGAGGAGAACCCCATGGTTTTTGCTGGAGCAAGGATTGATAATAGGGAAGGTATAGAGGTGTACTCTAATGGGGATTCATATGAAGGGGAGCTTTATTTGGGGAAGTTCAACGGGAGTGGTGTCTATGATTTCTTCGAGCGAGGGAGATACGAGCGCGATTGGGTGGACGGGAAGTGCGATGGCTATGGGATCGAGCGGTGGGGGAAGGGAACACGATACTATGGTCATTATCGCAAGGGCTTATATCACGGTTTTGGTGTCTATCAATTCAACAAAAGTGTCGGCTATGCCGGTGAATGGGCTGGCGGGCGAAGCAATGGCTATGGAGTGCTGAGATGCTCGGATGGTGGCTGCTATGTGGGACAGTTCGAGTTTGGGGTGAAACATGGCTTAGGTGTCTATCATTTCAGGTATGATATATTCACATATGAGAATTGATGATATTAAAGTGATAGTGGGACCAATACCATCTCAACCAATTCCACTAATCCACAAATATTTTGTTTGCACGAAATAGTTTTTTGATACATACCCTTGCACGTTTTTTTTTTTTCAAAATTCAAGATTTTTAGACTTTTATTTGAGGATTTTATATATATTCATTAGTAATGGCGATAAATATGCGGGTGCATATTTCGGCGGAATGGCTCATGGATTTGGAATTTATTACTATGCCAATGGTGACTGTTATGAAGGCTCATGGCACGAAGGCGTGCAGCAAGGTTTCGGAACGTACGCCTTAAGAGGTGGAGGTGTTAAGTCAGGAGAATGGAACTATGGAATTCTCAAAAACTCCCTCTCTCCTGCACACCCTAAAGTTTACAGCTTTGTTCAGGTATAGAATTGCTTAATTCAATATGAAAGAAATGAATTGTCTTTATATACATTAGACTTATATGAACTTAATTTCAATTAATTGAATATTGGTAGAGTGGAAGAAATGCTGCAGAGAGGGCAATTCTTCTGCCCCCTGTGGAAGATGAACTCAACCGAGCTGTTTCTGCTGCAAACAGAGCTGCCGCTGTAGCTCGCGTCGCTGCCGTCAGAGCTGTTCGATACCGTGAAGAACGAAGCAAAGCTTGGCATCTTCTAACTAAAAGATTTCGCTCTCATGTGTCGAAGTTCGTTAATTTGGTAGCTTGTTCTGGACGGGGATGGAGATTTGAAAACATATGCTGATTTTTAGTGTTCTGTAGGAAAGTGATTAGGATTTTTTTTTAATTTTTTTTATTTTGTTTTAGTTGAAACGTTACATTTTAATTATTTGAATGCATAATTTTAATTCAATTCATTTTTAGGTTGCAGAATGAGTTAATTTTATACTCTTGCACAGGTGATGATTTTAATTTAAATAATTTATTTGTATTTATCTGTTAATTTTTTTGCCTCAAAGAAAAATTATAATTTTTTAAAAAATAAATAATAATAATAAATAAAAGATCCGCCGTGTTAGTATTTAGTAAGGTGAAAATATTTTTTATAGATTTATGTTACTAGGCCGGAGATATTAAATTATTTTATTTGATAATATTTAATTTTAGATGTTAAAAAGTTAAGTAGAAATAAACAAAATGTGATCATAATTGCTTAACCAAAGGGCCGAATTTATGTGAAATTTGCCACCCTCTTCATAATTTACTTAATAGAAATAAACTTATTTGTAATGAAGTTTGCAATTGTTGTGAAATCCGCTCTGCCAAACACCTACAACCATGCTGTTGCGAAGAACTCCTTATGGATTGAGTTAGATAGAAAAGATATTTAATAGTATTGTACAAATCTTTTCAGCAAGATTATGATTTCAAATTATTGTAATCTTGCTCCGTCAAGAATGCCAAGAAATAAGAAATGGAATGCAAAATAAAATATCAAATTCCTTCTTGAAACTTCTTTAAAGGCTACGGTTGGGAATGCCAAGAAATTTGCTGCAGTGCCTTATCCTCTTCTCTGTCGGGAAATCCACCTGCAAGCTAAGGATTGGGATTGCCGAAGGACCTGCTTGCTGCTGCGTTTCTTGGATGACGAGGGAGATGATAACAGTAGCTGACCAAGCAATCTCCCTGAATCCAAGAACCTGAGCTGATATAAAAGTTCTTGTTCCAAGAACTGAAAAACGCAGCAAGCATGTACAAAAGGAAAAACCAGAAAAAACAGAGGAAAGAAATGCCACAACGAATAAGAACACAAACACGAGGATTTACGTGGTTCGGTCCTTAGACCTACATCCACGGAGGGAATCGCTACCAAATTTACTAGCACAAAGGAAGAATTACAAGCTCATTACATCGAGGAATCACCAAGATCTCTCTCTCTACAAGACCTCTCCCTCAATTCTAAAGCCTCTCCACTCCTTCCTCTTCTTGCTGAATCTTCTTCCTCCTCTTGATCTTCTTGATCAGATTTTTCTCTCCTTATGGTGGTCACTCCATCCCTTAAGACCCCTCATCTATTTATAGATGGATGAGGCTTCCAAGAGGCAAAGAAAAAATTACAAGTGTGTCATTTTATGTCATAATTAAGAGCCATGAATAAACAACACATAGTTTGTAACATAGTTACTTTTTTAGAGCTTTTTAGAGCTGCCCTACATTGACATGATATCACAGTCGCAAATAATTCCCAAAAAAATTTACATAGCAAGCTCCAAATGAGCCTTTATTAATACTATAGTTAAGTATTCTCTCCTATATTTCGTGCACAGGAGTCCCTTTGCTCTAAATCAATTACTCGTTAGCAACCTTAATTTTTACTAGTGTATTTCCATTTTCCCCGCCAAATTGTAAAAGCTGAAATGCACAAAATCTACTACTTAATGCAAAAGAAATATGATATTAGCATGTGCTAGCAAAAATATAAACAGCAGAGACATGAAATTTCTCTCCAATGTTGGAGTATGATTCGCCACTAACAATGTTATGAGTGTCATGAAATGTCAGTAGACTAATGATAGCAATTGGTCAATGCTCAAGTTATTAGAGTACGATAAAGATAATAGAAGTCATCAGAAGAATGACATACCTGGAAACCTTTACCTCGAGTAATCCCAGTTACATCTACAAACTGGCCTGGCACAAAATGCCTTACTGTTATTGGAGTACCAACAGGGAGAAGAGCATCCTCAGTCACAGGGAACTCCTTCAGTTTCCTCTTTAGAGGAATGCCTTGGGCTCTAAAATGTCCCACTTCAGGTTTTCTCAGATGTTTTTCTTTCTTCTGACCTGCACCAATCTACATACGAGACAAACTGAGAATTCACACCTTGAACATGTCAGTCATAAGAAAAAAAGGGGCATTTACATACATAGCACACAAATCTTATGCATTTACATATCTCAGACCTAAATTTACATATTTACATAGCACAATTACCACTTTTTAAAAGTGAAATACACCATTTCATGCATAGTTTTAAAGCAATAAACTGCTACATATGTAAATCTGAAAGTTTAGATCTGAGATACGCAAATACATAAGATTTATGTGCTAGGTATGTAAATTTTCAAAAAAGCCAAAAACAAAAACACTGTTTCACCATAGACAAGATCAGAGAAAAATAAACTTAGCAGCAAGAACAAAATATCCAACTCATACCATAAAGATCATCATCATTGGACTTATCCTAATCTGTGATCAGCTTTATGCATACTCATCTTTCAAATATTGAAGTTTTACACGGGATTGAAAACAATATATAGCGTACTCATCTTCCTAATATTGGAGTTTTACCGGGATACACAACATTATATAGATTTTTGCAAGCAAAACCTAAAAAATTGGGATAGGAATTATTCCACCATTTTAAGCTGGTAGCATGCATTGGTTAAAATACAGAATGAGGACAGTTTAATGTAGCGTCATTAATAATATGATTAAGCTAGAAAACCAACGAAATTTTTGTGTGGAAAAGCATGAAAATAATAGTTTGCAAGTCAGTTCTAGAGTAAATGACTGGCTTTGCGGAGATTATGCTGTATGAAAGTGAAGAACATATATGAAACACGTCTGCTGCTATGGACTAGTCGACTTCCCTTGAAATGGTGAGTTAATTGCAAGGAAGATCATAGATTATGCTTCAACACGACAATGACAACTAAGAACTTGGTATCATTTGTGATGATGAGTTGAGATAATTTCGATATATCCAAATTTACTTTCAATGATGAACAATTCACAGTGCCTCCAATAGGTAATGAGTTGAAGACAATGAACACATATAAAGTAAAGAGTGTTGGCTAGTAAATTCCAATAAAAAAAACACCATTTAAAACATGATTAGTAAAAATATCAGATGGAAACGACAAAGCCTGTGAGAAAAAGAAACAGAAACAGCTCAAGCAAGCACATCAAGAAAAACCTCTCTTCACTCCAATCTAACCTGCAGAGCAACGATCCCCTCCTTTTCCGGTGTCTTAACCTGGGAAACAATGTTATCATCCAGCCACAGGATCGTGATCGGCACCCGCACCCCCCACTTGTCCCACAGCGCCGTCATCCCGCACTTGACGGCGATCGCTCCCGTTCTCTTCGAGTTGGGCATCATTGCCCTCGGTATGGCCTCGATGATGCGACCAGTTTTGGGAGCTTCAATCTCATATTGGTTTAGTAGAGGCTCGGCGCTTAAACTTCGGTGAGATAATTGGCCCGGTAGAATCAGGCGGAAGCGGGAGATAAAGCTTCTGGAAGAAGCGAACATGGCTTTAAGGAGAAGCCCTGAGAAGAAACTAGCTGTAGAACATGCCGACGGTGAGATATCCCGGTAAGGTTTCCGACAATAGCATGGTGAGGGAGGGAGAGGGTGGCGACCATGGGGTAGGGTTTTGGAACGACGTTAACCATTTCAGTTGCATGGGCTTTTTATTGGGCTTTTTATGTACAAAGTTGGGTTGGGCTCCAACGTCCCCGTCTTCTTGTGAACAAGGTAGACCGTAACAAGCATCGCCCACAAAAAAACATTGTCCTTGATATGCAATCGGTTATTAAGCTTTGCTAATGGCCATTTATATATATATATATATATTTTCAAGTGCTTCAGTTTATATATATATATAATTAAAATTTAATTTAGTATGTAAATTACACCGAAGGAATATAGTGTAAGACATGAGAGATATAGAGTCATAAAGAGAAATGCATAGTAATAAACATTAATTTGATAGATGTGTATAAATATTTATTCATAAAATGAACCCCTAGTTATAGGAAAATGGCGTATAAGATATTATAGGTATTTTACATATATACACTCGGAGCCTAACCGATCAAAGGCTTAGCGGACTGGATTGGGGAGGCTTTTGATGGGCGCTACCAATCGGCTAGGCTAGGGAGGCTCGTCGGTCGGCCTGAACCGGTAAAAACTACAATTCGGCTAGGCGTGAAGTTGTTCGTTGGCTAATCTTTTACTAGCAAAGGGTTCGCGAGACTGACTCGATCAGCTACGTCAAGTCGATCGGTTGGTCGAAACTGGTCGCAGGCAATCATCCCTGAGACCCTGACAATGAGCTCCCGTCAATAGAGCAGCACTAGGTTATCGAGTAGAGGATAAATCACTGTAATTTGATAGGTAAACACATTTAAACAAAGAGAACTTGAAATGATTGAGACTTTTGTCCTTGATCCTCGATGATATTCGAATAGGCTATTTGTTGCATATAATTGTAGGACCTCCTAAAATCAAAAGGTCATAAAAATGAAAAATAAAAATAATTTCACTATGAGAAAATAAAATATAAAATAAGTGATATGAGAAATAATAATCATGTAAAGTCATTGAATAGTTTTTCTTCTCATTTTTTTGATTGATAGATGTTTTCCTATAAATAACATGGTGAATTTACATACAAATCTCATAATTTTTATGTGTTTACCTATTTTTAACATGTAAAATAGTTTTAATGTGCAACACTTCAAATTTTTAATCACATAAGAAATATAATTACTATTAAGTATCTTAAAGTGAGATGTACAATTCATGCATGCATATATTATAATATTATTAAATGATATGCTTGAAAAATGTTGATGATATCAGACACCGGCATACACCCCAACCAACTAGCTGGCGACGCATCAGATGGACCAGCAACGAAAATGAGTTAGACGATCGAAGGTTTGACAGGTGACTGATTGTCCGAAGAAAAACAATGATCCAAGAGGCAACCGAAGATTCCGCAAAATGTCCAAATGTCTTTCAGACAACCGAAAGTTTATAAGACGAATGAAGGCCTTCTGGACAACCGAATGTACGTATGGCGTTCGAAGGATCGCCAGAGAACCGTAGAATGGGCAGATAACAAAAGGTCCGCCAAACAACCGATGGTCCGTCAGACGACTGAGGGTCTGCCAGACGACCAAAGGTCTTCTCGACCATCAATGCTCTACCAAACCATCAAAGGTTCGTCAAAGAATCGTAGAGCTGTCAAACGATTGAAGGTCTGTCAAAAAAATGAAGATTGTCATAGAATCATAGAATATCCAGACAACCGAATGTATCTCGAATGATCAAAGGTTTGCAAGTGTACCGTAGAACTATCAGACATTCGAAAGTGTTTCAAACAACTGAAGGTCTACCAGACGATCAAAGGTTCATTAGGGAATCATAGAACTTTCAGGCGATCGAAGGTATGTCGAACAATCAAAGTTCCACCAGATGACCCAAACGACCGAAGGTTTACCAAATGACCGAAAGTTTGTCGGACGATCAAAGGTTTGCCGGAGAACCGTAGAATTGCTAGGCAAACGAATGTCTGTCAGACAACCGAAGATCTTTTAGACGACCGAAGGGCTATCTAAGCGTACATTAAATGAGCATCCATTCAACAATCGGACAAAGGTCCAAGTATACAAAAAATGTCAAAATTTGTTACTGTTGAAAGATCTCGAAAATACTAATGATGAGTCTTAAAAATCTCAATTTATTTTTATCCTTATATTAGAGAGATTAATTCTCTTATATTTTGTTATTATTTATTTTTTTCTATTGTATTCTGTTTTTATTGTTTTCTTCATCAGTAAGTCCTGTAATGGGTATTTATACCCCTATTTTCATCAATAAAATTAAGTCCTCTCATATCTTTTCAGTTACAAATACAAAAAGACGTAATAAAAGAAAATAATGTCTTATAACCCTTACTAAAATAGAGGCAGCCATGTAATTTTCAACATTTTCTCCTCTTTCTCCTATAAATAGGGAGCTCATAGCATGTAAAAGGGGGAGGTCATTTGGGCTTTCCAACCATTTAGCTGCTACTCTTCTCTTCTCTTATAACAACTTGTTTCAATATATAAAATGGGTTCGAGAGCTTGGAGAACACCCCCACTTTGCTCCGTTGTGAGCAATTAATGTGTCACTCCTTGTTCCTCTCTTTCTCACTTTTTTACTCTCTCGATCTCTAAGCTTTACATCTTGGACATGATCTGCCAAAAAAATTAGATTCAACTGTTGATTTGAAATGTTAGACATATAATAAATAAGAATTACTAGGAAGAAAGTTAAATTATTTCTTTCCAATATTGTTTGTGGATGCAATTTCTTATTTAAAAGGAAACTATTTTGAAAATGGAATACGGAGAAACAGCTCACAATTTTCTGGTGAATTGTGATGGCTTTAACAAAGACGATCCAATTCGGAAAGCTTACATGCACCCTTTTGTTTCCTTCCCAATGTTAGCCGTCCTTTTTCTCTCAGCTTTTTTGACGTCATACGTATCAGCTAATTCTCATGTATTTACACATCTAACCTAAAAGTTTTATATTTATACATATAACATTCAAAGTCTTAATATTATTGAATTCTTTTTAGGGCGTAGCCTTCTGTATTATTGGCTTGTTCACCACTTCAGTCGGCGTGCTCCATTCATCCACTTAGGCAAATGGGCTATTGATTCTCAGGTATTGTCGGTGTACAAATCTTTCTCAAATATGTATGGCTATAATTTGGTATACAAAGATAAAATATATATTTTTATGTATACATTTATGAGATTAAAATATTATAAATGTAAAATTTAAAATATAATTAGTATATATACATAAAAATTATGTGGTATGTAGGGGTGTGAACGAACCGAACAAGAACGAACAGAGCTGTTGTTCGTGTTCGGTTCATTTGAAATTGTGCGTGTTTGAAATAGACTCGTGTTTGAAATTATTCGTGAAGTTACTGTTCGTGTTTGGTTTGATTTGTTTGAAATATGTTTGAAATGTTTGAAATGTTCGAATTGTTTGAATTATTTGGTTTGAATTGTTTTTGAATTGTTTGAAATCTTACAAATTTGTTTGTAATGTTTGAATTGTTCGAATTTTTCAAAATTTTTCAAAAGTTTAAATCCATATAAAATTAATTCTTAAACTTGTCTGAATCACAACGCAAATGCAAAATAACTGAAACACAACTCACAATAAAATCATAATTTCATATCTCATCTATAAAAAATTCATATATAGAGGCAACATGTGAGATTTCAATCCAAAAAATAAAGTTTCACTCAAACGAACTAAATAAATCTAAAGGAAATACAAAAAAATTTAAGCTAAGAGACGAACCTGAAGATAAATAAAAAATTATAGAATTTAATATAGACTAAAAGACGAACTTGAAAATCATATTATAATTTATATGATTTAATTTTTTAAAATATGATAAATTTTTTAAGTATATAACTATTTTTAAATTATGATAAATTTTTTTATTTATAATTATTTTAAATTGTTTTATAATTCGAACAATAACAATCGAACATGATCGAACAAATGACTGTTTGTGTTTGGTTCATTTATAAACCGAATGAAAAAAAAATTATTTATGTTAATCTCAATTATTTATCGAATGAATCGAACAAAAAATTTCTGACGAACTGAATACGAATTGTCCGAAAACAACGAGCTTCTGATAAGAATGATTTATTACGTTTTTTTTGTTAAATCAGTTGTGGGGAACGAGCGCAAACAATTATTTAAGTATTAATCCATTTATGGGCTCGAGGGCTGTGGCTGACTGGCTGTAACTTGTAATATGCTCAATTTAACGTGCCCCAATTTGTTTTGAAGTACTGACATTCTTTAATCATTTTGACATTTGTGCAATATTTGTGGCGAGAATTAATTATTTTAATTAAAAATAGATATTGTTATCTGTTATTTCGAAGTAATAAAATTTGAAATATTATATTGTTAAAGTTTATTTTAAAATATTTGTATATTAGTAAACACTTTATGCTTAAAAGTGAAAGCTTTTAAAACACATGAATCTTTTGATCATGAAACACTTTATTTCAATTAACAATAGTTGAGGAGTGCTGAGAAATTAGGGTGAAGAAAAACAAGAACGACATAAATTTAGGAGAACACACAAAGATTTAACGAGGTTGGACAAAGATGTCTACACCCTCGGGAGCAGAACGCAGTCTTTCACTAATCTAGAAAGTACAGAATATAGAATATGAGGTGTAACGCCTAGGATTACATACAGGCATATTTATAATATTAGAAAGAACATAAAAAGAAACATTTGGTACATTATGTAATTACTAAATTATCCCGGTACCACAACCGCAACCCACAAAAGGAAACTCCTATGATTTGGACATAATCTTCTGCTCTGCTCCGCTCCTGATTTAGTACTGTCCATTTATGATATATGAGTCATATCTAACAAGGAGTAAAGTATTAAAAAGTTTTAAGAATATCACAATCAAAAAATTAAACTATAAGTGATAGAAATTAGAGAAAATACTCCGTCCGGACTTGACTCATCCAGATGGCCAACCATCACGGTCACGTCGCCGCGCACGACACCGGCGGGCGACATGATCGTCCAGATGTAAATATTTTTTTAAAAAAATTGACC